GACTGGGGAGGGGAATGGGACAGGGTGGAAAGGGCTGTTGGGGAGAAAAGGGGACATCTGTAATATTTTAAACAAAAATAAAAATTAAATTAAAAAATTAAATTAAAAAATAAAATAAAATAATAAAATAATAAAATATAAAATAAAATAAAATAATAAAAAATGAGTCAAAAAAAAAAAAAAGCAATGGAAAAAATATCCTTGGTTGAGGTTTAAAAAAATTTTTAATAAAATAAAAGGCAGGAATTGTCTGCTCTGAGTATGTATGCTAATCCATCAAAGATCTGAAGATAGGTTAAATTTTAGTCATAAAGAAGGAAAAAAAAAAGACCAAAAAGTTTTTAAATTCAAACTCCAAGAGTTGAGCATCTACTGTGCATCAAGCACTTTTATTCACCTCTCCTCACTGAATCTGCACAATAACTCTAGGAGGCATATTCCTATATATATGTAGAAACTGAGGTTGAGATGGTAGATGACCTGCCCAAGGTTACAAGGCCAGAAATTTGAAAGAATTGCTCATGTTTCCATCTTATTCCTCAAAAGTTGAGGGGAAAATTAGTCCATTAACATTTATTATCTAATTAGATAATTTAATTACATTCCCCTACCTTCTCCTTCTCCATTAACCCTATATTCTCTTCCCCTTCTTTATTTCCCTCTAATCTTAGGCCAATGAATAGCAATCCTCAAACACCCTCAGCCCATCATTAATGTTACAATTAACTTTTATGGTTGACAACAGCATTTTTTAACCATTAATTCATGCTCCTCTCTGATAAACATAAAAATTTCACACACACCCTCCTAGAGATTCAGATACACTCCACCATCCAGATGGATCATTCTCTACACATCCCCTCAGCCAAAGTTTTTTTTTCATAGTTTGTATTCCTAAAACAATTTTCCCAATTAATTATAATATTCCTTAGACATTTTTATAACTTCCTTGAAAATCACTAGTTTAGAGAATCACTAAACTTATCCTAAGAATTCAAGCCTTGTCCTCAAGTGGCTTGCCATCAGTGGTTCATGCACCCATCTAGAGATATTCAACAATACAGAAAGCAGCATACAGTAGGTGCTCAATAAATAATTATTTCCTGAAATGATGAGCAGCTAAGAAGGAGCAAGAGAAGAGCAGATAGCTGGGTCAGTTACTTGCCAAAGAACAATTATCACAATCAGCTATTCAGGAGGCACCCCCACACACACATTTCAAATTTCAGATTTTGAGTTTATGGTCACGAAAAAGCCATCCATTGTCAATAAAACTTAGAAAAGTAAATACATAATGTACAAAACTAAGTGACCTTTCAAATGGTATGTAGGTTGTAACCAGGGAAACTTGAGAAATTTCAAATTCCAATCAGCCCATAGAATGTTCTTGGGACCGGAATGCAAAACAACCAAATCAGCTGGGAACATACTAAGGCGTAAGGAGTAACAGGAAGGGCTGGGCCTTGAATGGAGTCTACAAAAAGGAGGATATTATTGGTCCAGAATTTAAAATGTGCTGATACTAAACTCTAAACAACCAGGACAATTTTTAAAGGAACTATCCCTATAGTCAGGAAAAGCAATCCCCTATACTAATCCCTGCCTAACAGCAATGTCTTTGAAACACCTACTGCTGCTCTAGTGGAAGAATGGAAAGCCCTGGGCCGCCACTTTCCTCTCCTGTACCTAAAGCAAGTATCACTGTGGGATCACAACTCTTTCCTGATGAGCCCAGCTTCTTCCAAACACAGATGCTCCAGGCAGCTACCACCACCAAGTCAGAGCTGGCTGGCTCACAATATGAATCCCCATCCTAATTCCATAAATGCCAAGCATCTCTCTGACCTAACAACTTAGTCTTGGCAAAGTGGATGGTTCCTTACGCCACCACTACCTGGTTTCCAAGCTAAGTGATGTATCTCCCACTACAATTCGAAAATTGTTCTCGAGAGTTTGATTAACCAAGAGTACATCTCTGAAAGTCTCTTCCACTCTAGATGGACAGAAATGAAAACTTAAGGCCCTGCCAAACTGAAGGCCAGATCTTGGCCCGGAGATATCTCTTCAAAGTATAGTAGTTATTTGCCAGGCCGACAGCAACTGCTGTTCTCTCTCCTGGACATACCTTTAGCAGTACCTTGACTTACTAAAGCAGGAAATACAGGAGTTAGCACCTGGAAGCCAGTCTGTGAGATCTACCCTCGCTCCATCTTTACTTGGGGTATAAACTCCAAAGGACATTGCTGTATGGGAAAACAGTTCAAGCATTTCAGGCTTCTGAGAAAGAGAACACCAGCTGAAGAGGATCATGTGCTATGAGGTGAATACTCTGAAGAGCAAGCAGCTAAGACATTCACAGCCTAGGATGGCCAGGTTCAGAGTGTAAAGTCAGTGAGAAAGCTTCAAAACTGTGAAATATTGCCCTGGCAGTGTGGCTCGGTTGGTTGGAGCACAGTCCCCTACACCAAAGGTAGCAGGTTTGATTTCCTGGTCTGGACTCATACTCAGGTTGCAGGTTTAGTCCCAGTCAGGGCACATGCAGAAGGCAACTGATTGATGTATGTTTCTTTCTCCCTCTCTCCCTCTCCCTTCCTCTCTCTGAAATCAATAAAGATGTATTTGTTTAAAAAAAAAAAAAAAAAATAGACAGAAAAATACCCCCCAAAATATGTGGTAAAACAGGAGATTCTCAGCAGGTAGAAGAGATTTGCAGGAGATTAGTAGGTGGAAGATTAGCAGGCCATCTCCAGGTATGAGATTGGCAGGTTAGATCTATATATGGGAGCCAACCTGCCGGCCAGGAGAAACAGGTCTTGGGACAGACAGAAAATAAGGGCAGAAAAGTGAGGATGACATTAGAAGTTAGAGAAATGAGAGTGCTAGAGCCTAAATATTATTGTTATTATTCTTTTAATAGCAGCAAACACATAGCACCTAACATGAACCAGCACCCTAAGATGCTTGACATATTTTAACATACTTAAAAACCCTATGGAAATAGGTTTTACTGTTCCTCCTGATTGATAGATGAGAAAAATTAGGCACAAGAAGTAGGTGACTTCCCTAAGGTCACATATTAAGAAGCAGAGTTTGGATTTTGGTATCACCTCTAAGCAAATCTGTACCCAGACTCCCGGTATCCTAACCACTAGGCAAACACACCCTCTCCTTAAAGCCTCTTCTTTCAAGCAAACTACCGAAAACCCGAGTCTCGATTTCCTTATCTGTATCAAAGGGGAGTAATAAGTGCCCTCCCTGCCTCCCAAGGCTTTGGGGGGCAAATGATGAGAGAGTGAACAGGAGGAAAGTCTCTGTAACCTAGAAAAGCCCTGTGTAAGAGGAAGCTGCATCGTTCCCCACCAGGCCCACCTGCGCCTAGCACCTTCCTTTGCAGAATTTGGAAAAAGGAGTGTAGGGAGAGCTGAGGTCAAGGACACACTTTCAGTGACACTTCAAGTGCCATCGATTAGATAAAATTTCCATGACTTCATTAAAACATAATCAGATTTTTTTTTCTACCATTCAGCAATTGACTTATTATCTTGAGCATAAACATGATGCCTTAGTACAGGAAAGGACCTCTGAGACCAGGGGCTGTAAAAACTTCGGAGAGTGAAGTGCCAGCTGCACTGCGTGATGGATATAAAGAAATCCGGCGATATAAAAGGCGGCCTCGCTGTTCATCTAATCAGTAAAAATTTTAACAACGGAGCAGGGGGTGGGGTAGTTCTGCCTCCAAGAAGACGCGCAGTGGGGTGGCCGGTGGTCTCAGCAAGGCTCTCTCCAGCTCTGCAGAAGCCGTGGGCGCGCTAATGCGGAGGGCAAACCGGGGCGCGCACCGCGGCGGACCGCTGACCTTCAGAGCTGGTCCCCTCCCACCTGAGCTCTACCCTGGCCCCCACCGCCCCGGGCTCCCCCTCCAGCCCTCTGAGGTGCTGGAAGCCTCGTCCCTGCAGGCGCTCACCTCTAAAGTTTTCACCAGGATCTTCATGTAGATTTCGGAGATGCCCAAAGACACCCCGAAGGCCGAAGGCAGGAGGATGAGGCCGAGCACCAACGTCAGCCAGGTGGAAAGGATCTTCCCGGCCAGCTCCAGGCCCTCCATGGCTCCACGCACCCTTCCCGAAGGGGTCCGCGAGGAGGTCCGAGTGCGACAACTGTTCCCGGTCCCCGGGCGGCCAGGCGGCAGCTCCCGGGGCAGAGGCGCGCGGACCGGCTCGGGAGAACCCGCGCCCCGCCTCCCGGCGCTCACCTCTGCGGGGGGAGGAAAGAGAGGAAGGAAAAACTTTCAGAATGACTGCAATTTCCTTCCTTCCTTTTGGGGCTCCTCCTCGAGCCGCCGACTCACTCAGTCTCCGCAGGAGGCCCAGACCAGCGCCGAGCCGGTCGCACCAGGAGCTACGAGCTGCGCCCAGGAACGCGCCCCGCCCGGTGCCTAAGTTTCCTCTAGGTCAGCGGGTGACTCACGGAAGGATCCCTGCGGGTGTCCCGCACTTCGCCACGCCAGCTGCAGGCGGAACTGGCGCCAGACCGAGGACTCCGCTGGTGGCTGACGGCGCTCGGTCACCGGGAGCCCTATTTCTGCGCGCCGCGCTCGCCCCACCTCCTCCGCCACCCAACCCCGAGCATCCGAGCTGGACTAGCTCCGGGCTGCAGCCTCCTGGGCGTCCGCGGCTCGGCCCCTCGCCCCGCCTCCCCCAGCACTCCCAGCAAGAGTCCCTAGGGGAGAATTTTCAGCTACAAAATGGTCGTATTTTCTGCGCGCCCCCCCTCCCAAAGGAACTGACATGCCCGAGACGCTTAGATGGTCTTGTTTGCGGGGGTGGAAAACTTCTTGCAAGGACTTTCAGAGAAAGGGAAAAGCTCAGCGCGCTGCCGAGCTGCCCTTTCCGCAGCTCCCGGCTCTCGCCCGTCTTCCCCGCCCCTCCCCTGCGGAGCTGAGCTTATTAGGGCGGGTGAAGCGCTCTCCGGGGGTCCCCAGCGCCGCTGAGCTGCCCTCTCCCCGCACAGAAATCTTTCGGCCGAGGGTCGCTCTCTTCCTGGGCTACGAATCCAACCATAGGTCCCCCTACCGTTCCGGCGCTCTGGCGCGCTGACCGCTGCAGTCAAACGCCAGGCCCGCGCAGCCTTCCCAAGCTGACAGCGCCTCCTGGGTATTGTCCGGGCACTGCCTCCTTGCTAGCACCGATTAGACGACAAAGGGCAGAAGCCTATGGGTATTTACTTCATTGCAGTTCACGCCTCGTAGAGACGTGACCTGGTTTTAAGAATGAGCATGAGAATTGGGATGTTGGGAATGCAGTAGAGAAGAAAGTCGGGCTGCCCCGGCTTTCCAAAATCTCATACAGGTCTCTCCAGGGTTATTTCACGCTGGAAAGACTGGGAGGGCCAGCAATCTGAATGGAAACTGTTGATAGCAAATACTGCAAAGAAAGTGGCCCCTGGCCAGGGTGTGGAGGAAGTGGGGAGCAGAAGGGAGGAGAGAAGCCCAGCTGCAAAGAATACAACTGTTTGTCCTCTGAATGTAACTGTTACACCTCCTGCCAGTCAGGTATCACAAACCCCCTTTCCCACTGAGAGGGGGAAAATAACTTGGTTATAAAAACCAAATTATAAATAAATAAGTTCAAGCGCTTGGTTTCTCAAAATTAAACCTTTGTATGGGCTGCCAGTTTACAAAAAACAAGGACAATACAATTGCCAAAATCTTTCAAAAGTTCTTACTGAAAACACAGATTTAGCACAAAACCTCAGTGATTATACCATCTCGTTTAACACTATACATTCAGGTCCTCCTTTTATTTCCTAAGGAATGATGAATGATTATACCAAAGTTTACCCAATAAAGTCCCAGTACCGGCAACTTCCTGTAAGGGTGGCCTCTCTCTGCCCATCCAGATACAGGTGCTAAGTGCCCACAATCTCCAATGATTATTGTTGCTCATGACCAAACTCCGTGAACTAGTTTTGGGTTTTTATTTGTTTTTGCTTTTTTACTATTATGAAGGAATTATTGTCTCACAGAATAGTGGGACAGTAATAATGTGGAATTTGAAATCTTAGATTGACTCCAGCACAGACACATAAATTTGAGCAATTCATTTAGTCCTTCTGTGATAGGCAGTTAGACAGACATGAGCAGAGCAAGGACAATGGGCCAGGCACAGAAGATCACCAGGGTGGAAAGCCCCAGGTGCCTAGCAACAGACTATTCTAGGGTGGAACCTCACCCCCAGGGTGGCCTTTCTTCCCCTAGCATTTCACTGGTACTGCGGTTTGGATCCCCTGACCTTTCCTCCCTAGAGATATCATCTAGGCCTCAGTAGTATTTCAGCGCCAGGCCAAGAAAAGCAACAAAATCAGCCAAGGCTGACCTCAGGACCAACTGCATTGGATAATGTCCACCCCTCCTACCCCCGCCCCTGGCGCCCAACCAATTAATCGGTGGACACCACAAGCCTGAAAGAACACAGTGGAAAGCTGCTGAATATTATGAGATCTTCCCCTGGGATCTCCCCTAAAACCTCCACTCTTAAAACTACTAGAATGGGGGACCCAGCACACTCCTTCCTGGGAGCAAGCCCCTCTCCTTTCCCTTCCCCTCTCTCCCGGCCAGGCGCCTTAGCATTAGCGTTAGGATTAGCTTTCTCACACCCAAATTCCAAGAGCCCTTCCTTTGCCTCTATAACTTGTTTCCTAAGCCCATTTCTTCTACAAATTACTTCTTCCACCTCTGTGATTTTATAAATAAATGTTCTCTTACAGTTGGAGTCTTGGCTCTGAATTCTTTCCTAGCCAGAACCCAGTCACTGAGGTTACTGAACTTGTTCTGGTGTGACCCGCGACAGACGACCACCAGAGTTTGTATTTGAATTTTGGAGCCTTTATTAGCTGGCCAGTGGCTACAGTTGCAGCGTCTCACCCATGTAAGAGCCGAACTGCAGCCCTGACCCTCAGTTCTTCCCACATTTTATACTCAGTAACTACAAAGGCAACTACAGTAAAGGGGCTTCTAATAATTTGATAATTTGTTAGGTTGTCAACTTTTGTAACATGAAACAAGGTGGGGGGGGGCCTTAGTAACATAAAAGGGATGATTTAAACACAATGTCTTACAATGAGTAATGGGGTTATGCTTGACTGGAGTGTGACTGGTTTGTTTTGTTTTTCTACAGGACTTCAGGGGGAGCGGTAATTCTTGGGCTACCTTGTCAGGCCTTGTCCTGTACAATAGGGATCTTTTTCTACCTTTACTGTTAGTTCCTTAGGTGTTCTTCTGGCCATGGTGGCCAGAACAAACCCAAGTCCACTCTGACCCCACAGGTTCCACACCTGGTGCTGTTTCCACTGCCTACAATACTTCTGGGCTTCAACTTTCTCAGCAGTAAAATGGATTATTTTTAGAGTCAAATGGGATTGTGTTTTAAACTGCTTTGTGAACCACAAAGCTCTGTGCAGAGATCAGATGGCCACCTGGTACGAGTGCTAAAGTTCTCCACCTTTTTCCTGCCTAAAACACAGGACAGCCAAGATAGGCTCACTTTCCAGCGATGAGGGAGGGAGAAGGAAGAGAAATGGCAGAGGTAACACTGCTCCCTTTCGCTCATTTTGAAACCAGACATCATTCTTGGCTGCCTGTCTCCACTTGAGCCAATTAAGTAGAGACAGGATTGAATCATACATGAGCATCTATTCCAGTATTGTCAGCAATATGGGAGAGCAGGGGATCATCCACGAATATCTGCTCTGCCATCCCCCACCCCACCCCTCACTAGCCAGCTGCTTATATTGTGTAGAAGGACAAAGATTACCTGGGGAAGTAGACAAAGGAACTACAGGCATGGGGAAGTGGGTAAAATGAATAAGAATGTGTATAATGGTTCAACAGGGGGCTGGGGGGTTGCAAAAGAGTAGAGCACCTCCACCTCTGGGAGAGGGGATGCGGGTTGGGGGTTGCAAAGGATGGGTGCCTCACCGACTCCACATTTCAGGAACCAGGTTATTATCTTTCCATGAAAAAAGGAGAATGGACCTCACTCCAAAGTCAACACCCTTGTCCTGGAGCATACAACTCCCAGCCCCGTTAGAAAGTGATTTTTTTTTCTTTTTTTAATATATATTCAGAGAGAGGAAGGGAGAGAGAGATAGAAACATCAATGATCTCCTGGTTCATAGGTTGATGCTCAATCACTGAGCCATGCCAGACGGGCGATTTCTGTTGTTTTAATTCACTAAGTTTGTGGTAATTTGTTAAGGCAGCCCTAGGAAACAAATACAGTAAGTGAAGGGAGTTCTAACTGCAGGAAAGCAGGGATGATCCTGCCTAGGTTTAATGGAAAGGGGGGAGGTGAAATTGTCGGGGGCAGAAATATTAATCATGCTCTTTGACCATGATTGTTAGCTATAGTTAGAAAAAATATTGGTCATATTCTATTAACTATGATTGTTCTGTTCTAATTAGAAAAAGCCTGAGATACTGCATTTCAATGAGCTCCCAGGTGATGCTGATGTTGTTGGTCTACAGAAGACCGCACCTTGAGAAGCCCAGCAGTTAGAGTAGGAATAAAGAGGGAAGTGTTAATATTTAACTGTTTTGCTTTGTTTTGTTTTAAAATATATCTTTATTAATTTCAGAGAAAGGAAGGGAGAGGGGGAGAAGAGAAACATCAATGATGAGAGAGTCATTGATCGGCTGCCTCCTGCACGCCCCCACTGAGGATGGAGCCCGCAACCCGGGCATGTGCCCTGACCGGGAATCGAACCGTGATAGCCTGGATCCTAGATGGATGCTCAGCCTTTGAGCCACGCCTGGCCAGGCAACATTTAACTGTTAACAAAAGGTTGTGGGGTCCTGATAAGTTTCTGGGAGGCCAAAATAAAAAAGAAGTGATTCCAAAGGGTTGGCCCTACCTAAGCACTCACATTATTTGCATCTTCCTCCTTCCCCTGCGTTGACAGCAATTGTGGGTCGGCAATGGGAACAGAGGAGTTTAGACTAAAAAGCCCTGGACAAATGTCAATACTCTCATGAATAGATGCCAATGACAAATAAGATACCATAGTTGGAGCCAAATTACACATATTTAAGAGGTATGGTAGAAGAGAGAAATCTGGGGGTGAAGCAGATTGACAGAGCGTTTCTTGCTTCCATTCTCTGAGACAGCTCTTTCCTCTGATTTCACACCTGTCTTGGGTCTTCATCATATCCTGCCTTGATCTGTGTAGTTGCTTCATCATCCCA